AAGCTTGAGGGCGATGAAACACCAAGCTTGCCAAGAATACCATAATGCAGCTGGGTGGGCAATGCTTTAGTCATAATATTTGCCAGTTGTCCTGAAGAAGATACAAAGTGCAAAGTGAGAAGACCAGCAGTGATGCACTCCCTCACATAATGGCAATCAATTTCGATGTGTTTGGTGCGCTCATGAAAAATAGGGTTCTTGGCTATGTGGAGGGCAACTTGACTGTCACAATAGACATGAACAAGATACGAAATAGCCAAACCAAGGTCAACCAAAAGCCTGACCAACCAAGCAACCTCTGCTGCTAGCTTCCTCAATGCTCTATATTCAGCCTCAGTTGAAGACAAGGAGATGGTAGGCGGTTTCTTACTCTTCCAGGATACAGGACTGCCACCAAGAGATATGTAAAACCCACTTACAGACTTGCGAGAGATGGCACAAGATCCCCAAGTAGAATCAGAAAATCCCACAAGAGACAAATTATCAGAACTAGAGAGCAATATACCTTGAGCAGGATCATTCAGAAGATATCTTAGAACATAGATAGCTGCCATCATATGGGGAACCTGGGGCTTCTGGAGGAACTGGATTAGATGTTGAACATAGAAGGAAATATCAGGTCTTTTATGTTGAAGGAAATTCAATTTCCCAATTAATCTTCTGTATACACTAGGATCAGAAACAGGGGCACTCATGTCCACAGTAAGCTTCAGAGAAGAATCCAAAGGAGTGGAAACAGGGGAGAAGTGATGACAGTTGAATTCTTGAAGAAGATCAGTGGTGTATTTTTGTTGATTCATTAAGTATCCTTGGGGATGCTGAGAAATTTCCAAACTTAGGAAGTAGTGCACCAAACCTAGATCCTTGATTTTAAATTGAGAATCCAAGATCTGTTTTAAAGAGTCAAGTTCAGAAATGTCATCACCAGCTAATTATATGTCATCAACATAGACTGTCAATACCACTAGAGAATCAGAAGAAGACTTTGTCAAGAGGGAATAGTCATTGAGACTAGAAATGTAGCCTCTGGAATGCAGTGCTTCAGACAATTTAGAAAATCATTAAGTAGAAGCCTGTCTGAGGCCATATAAAGAATTCTTGAGTCTACAAACCAAAGGAGGAGATGCAGAAGTATAGGAGACACCCATCCCAGGTTGTATCTTCATATAAAATTCCTCATGAAGGTCACCATGGAGAAAAATATTGTTCACATCCAATTGAAAAATAGTCCAACCTCTTTTCACAGCTAAGGTCAGGAGGCACTTGATGGTTGTTAGCTTGACAACAGGTGAAAAGTCTCAGTGAAGTCAATACCTTCTATTTGAGTGTCCTGCCTGATAACAAGCCTTGCTTTGTACCTCTCAATTCAACCATCTGCCCTTTGTTTGATCTTGTAAACCCACTTACAAGGGATGACCTTTTTATGAGAAGGAAAGGGAACAATGCCCCAAGTTTGATTGGACTCAAGAGCCTGAAATTCCTTTAGTATTGCCTCTTGCCAAGCAGGATGAGAAGTTGCCTGCTGGTAATGTTGAGGTTCATGCACATGTAGCTCAAAGTGGGATACCTTAGATATTGCAGAAATAGGAGTAAGAGGAAGGACAGAATTACAGACATAGTCTTGAAGATATGAGGGTTGAATGATAGTTATGGAGGATTTTCTTAAGGTAGGAGTAGGTGGTGGAAGTGGAGAAGGCTGAAGCACACAAGGTGGAGTTGGGGTAGAATAGGAGATAGAAGGAGAGGGAAGAGGTAAGGCAGAGGGTGTAGTAGGAATATTTGGTTCACCAATGGGATGGGAAGAAACATCAGATGTTGTAGTCATTTCTGTTGCAGCAGTAGGAGCAGAAGTAGGAGAAGTATCAATATCCACAAAAGATGGAAAAGTAGAGGGATGAGTGGCAGAAGGTGTTGCTGAACCATAAGGAAAGATGTGTTCATGGAATACCACATCTCTAGAGTAAAAAATGGAAGAATTAGAGAGGTTCATGAGTTTGTAACCCTTCTTGACACAGGGATATCCTAAGAAAAGACTATGTATAGCTCTAGATTGGAACTTATCCTTTCCAAATTTGGGAGAAGTTGCAAAGCATAAACAACCAAAGGACTTTAAATGAGATTAAGAAGGTGGATTTCCATGCAGTTTTTCATAAGGAGAAATGCTGTTTAAGATAGTTAGAGGCATTCTATTGATCAGGTATGTAGCAGTTAGTATACAATCACCCCAGAATTTAGAAGGAAGTTTAGATTGAAAAAGGAGAGCTCTAGAAACTTCCAATAGATGTTTGTGTTTTCTTTCCACAACACCATTTTGTTGTGGGTATGTGGAATAGTAGTTTGATGTAGAATACCTTGGTTGCTAAAGAAAGCAGCAGCTTCAGAACTGCTACCAAGTTCATAAGCATTGTCTGACCTGAAAGTTTGGACTGAGGATTGGAAATGTGTCTTGACCGTAGAGGTGAAAGCTTTTAACACAGAAAGAGCATTACCTTTACAAGATAAAAGATGTGTCCAGGTAGCTCTACCATAGTCATCAACTAAAGTTAAGAAGTATCTAAATCCATTGTATGTCCTAGTATTATAGGGTCCCCAAACATCAATATGAACCAGTTGAAAAGGAGCAGTGGAATGAATGTGGCTGTCATAAAAAGGCAATCTTTGTTGTCTAACCATTGGACAAATAGAGCATATGAAAGACTATTTTGAAGAAACTTTATCAGACAAGAATAGAATAGAAGTCATTCTATAAAAAGGCATATGACCTAATCTTTGGTGCCAAAACAAATCCATTTTATTTATAGTAGATGTCTGATTACATGGCAGATTATTTACAGGAATTGAAAGAAAATCAGACTTATTGCAGGAAACAGAATTTGAAAGAACAGAAGAAATATGTTGAGATAGAAACAACTCAGCATCAGGATGTAGATAGTATAGTCTTCCAGCAGCTTTACCAATTACCAGTGTCCTCTTCAGAGAAGGGCCCTATAAAGAACAATTAAATTGGTAAGAATAGCTATACAATTCAGCTGGGATATTAGTTGATGTATAGAAATTAGATTAAAATGAAAGGAAGGCACAACAAGGACATTGAGTAAAGTGATGTCATGCCTGAGATGTAAAGAACCAATTGACAACACTTTAACTTTACATCCATTAGATAGAGTGACAAGAAATGGTTTAGGTAAAGGTATAAGGTTGTGAAGTAAGTGTTTGTGTGGAGTCATATGATTTGTAGCCCCTGAGTCTAATATCCAAGGATTTACACCTCATTGAGAAGATGCACATACATGGAAATCAGTAGATTCTACAGCATAAGCAGTGAACAAACCTGGAAAATGTGCAAATCCAGATTCCTCAACATGAAGATTGTCAGAACCAGCACTAGGAGACACCTGGACTTGTTGGAATAAAATTATCAAGTGATGATACTGTTCCTTGGTGAAACCATGAGCAGAATTTTCAGTAGATAGTTGAGGAGAAACTGTAGGATGATTGATTTGATGTCAGACTGGACACATGAGGCTGATTTCTTGCCTTTGGTAAACTTGAAATTCGCAGGAAAACCATGTAATCGGTAGCATTTCTCCATTGTGTGTCCAGGTTTCTTGCAATATTTGTAAGAAACAGAGTTGGGTTTCCTGGAGTCAAAGTTGATCCTTTGATTGAAATTTCTATTTGATGTGGTTGAGGATACAGAGAAAGAGGCAGATTCATTAGAAAAATTTGGAACTGAAGCTTGAGTTTCTCTTTGGCTCTCATCTTGTTGCAAGAGAGAGTAAGCTTTACTTATTGGAGGTAAGGGATTCATAAGCATAATAGTACTTTTCACAGTTGAATAGGAGTCATTTAGCCCATTTAGGAATTGAAATAGTTATTGATCCTCTATAAACTTGGGAAGAGCTCCACAAGAACATATAGGGCCTACATATGAGGAATTCAACTCATCCCAAAGACTCCTAAATTTGGTGAAATAGGTGGCAATGTCAGATGACCCTTGGACAGTTGAACTGATTTCTCTCTGAATTTGAAGATATTTAGACCCATTGAACTGCCCAAACCTTTCATTAATGTCATTCCAAACCTCCTTAGCAGTCCTAAAACACATCACACTTGTGGCTATGTCTCTGGAAACAGAGTTGATGATCCAAGATTTTACCATATTATTACATCTCTCCCAATAGGAATATAAGGGAGAGTTGACAGGAGGTTGGGCAATTCTACCATCTAATAATCCTAATTTGTTTTTAGCAGAAAGAGAAGTAAGTATGCTACTTCTCCACAATACAAAACCATGTCCATTGAAGGGAACAAACACTAATTGGCTACCCGGATTATCAGATGGGTACAACATAAAAAGGATGAGAAGGATCTATTGTAAAGGGAGCAAATCCTTCAGTAGTGGGAACTAAGGGTGAAGTGATATCATCTCCATGACTACTCATATTTTCCACTAACAGAATCTAATCGACACAACAATAGACAACAAGCTCAAAATGACAACATGCAGATAATGTCGCGCCCCCTTTTCTCGTAAAATTGGGTTTAAGACATTTGGGAGACAACTCGTTCCCGTTCGGCAATTGGGTTTTGAATTGAAGAGTCGCCACCTAATGATTAAAGTGCATTAGGACACTAGGAGGGGTTTGTTTTGAGTAACCAAAGATTGGGTAAGGGCTTGAAATTATCCGAAGGGGAAAGTGTTAGGCACCCCTCAGGATCCACTAATGCGGTTCGCAGCCAAACTATTGTTGTGACTTAAGTACAAATAACACATAGGCAAATAAACGCTTCAAATAAGAGGGGATTTTCACGTAATGACTAAAAATAAACAAAAGTAAGAAAAAGGAACTAAAAAGAGTTGATTTTCTTAAAAGAAATGGTTTAAAAAGATTTAAAAGAAACAAAGTAAATAAAGGAAAGGGGGGTCCTAAGTTTATTAATAATATGGATCACCCCACACAACATCCGGTAATCACTCCTCAATGAGGGGCTACACGTGATATTATCGCATGGTCATCATATCCATGTCTACCCTTTCCCACCCCATTAAGGTATTAAAGCGCGGAATGGTCTCGTTTACTTATTACATGCTATTACCCACCCCAGTCCTATCAGCCCCGGAGGCACTTGGGACTACTAATCCTAGAGGGAGGAGGTATTGGGCTTATTTGTGGTTTCAAAAGATAAAATACTAAGGCGACAAACAAAACACATATAACAAGTTTGGGGAAGTATATAAACAAATAGAAGGGCTCAAACAGACCTCCTTTAAACCAAAGAAAGCACATAATGTAGCATGACTTGCACGTACTGTTTAGGGTCCGATTAAAACTTAAACGGTGGAGGCAGATTGATTTATTACATAGTTCAGATAAGAAGCCCGAATCAGGCCTACCTGCTGGTTGCAGCTGATAAAAGCCTGATTCAGTTCATAAACTGTCATATGGCTTGCCTAAGTGTTAGACAATAACCTATAGGCATGATATCTACTGATTTCAGAAAAGATGAAGTATACTAATTTTAGAAAAAGGTTGTCAGTTATTCAGGAAAGATGAGTTTTGACAAAAGATCATAAATTCTGCAGACGTTAGACAATGATTTTAGATTTGTAGGCGAGTGAGACATTTCAGACTTGGTTATTAATTCCTATAGGCATGCTTTCTAGGGGTTGTTGTTTTTAAACCTTTTCACAAACATAGCAAGAGTGTAGAAATCTTATGGGCATGACATCTAAATGTTGTACTTCGTTTAAGCCTATGAACATGATATCTAAATGCAGTTAGTTATTTAAGCCCTA